ATTAAATCAAAAAATCAAAACTTACTTGCACAGTTTCAATCAGACTTGCTGAGTAAAAAGGCATTGCTATCACACAAGTCAACCTAGAAGAATAAATACAGTTACTATTTTGATAATCAAAACTGTTATTTGCTAAAATCCAATCACATATTTTAATTTCAAACATACCACTCAAGAATTAGCTTAAGATAAGTCTTTATGATTTAATCTATTTTAGTCATACAGGTAGTCCTCAGGTTACGATCGCAACTGGGACTGGAATTTCCATTGCTAAGCGATGTGGTCTACAACGCGATGTCATATGACTGTGTCACTTAGCAATGGGAATTCTGGCAGTCTGGTTGCCATCATTAAGTGAGGACTGTGAGAGTCGTTAAGCAAGGACTCACGTGATCGCAGGTTCTGACTTCCTGCCAGCTTTCTCATTGACTTTGCTTGTGGGAAGCCAGTAGGGAACATCGGAAATTGCAATCATTGACTGTGGCTTGCTGCAATGTCATAATTGCAAGCTGGGTGCAAAGCAACTGTATTGCAATCATGGGACCATGGGGATGCTGTCATGGCTGGAACTCCAAGGACTGGTTGTAAGTATCATTTGTTCAGCGCTGTTGTAACTTTGAACTGTTGCTGAATGAATGGTCATAACCTGAGGACTACCTATATTTAACTTGAATTGACTAAGATATAAATATTTTGGATCAGCTTTTGGGTGGGGTTAAGCAAGGACTCACGTGATCGCAGGTTCTGACTTCCTGCCAGCTTTCTCATTGACTTTGCTGGTTGGGCAGGAGGTACGAGGGACACATGGAGGGGATCAGGGAGGTGTCCAAGGGAGGCACAGCAAGGCTTGGTGAAGGTGCACGAGGGTGGTGCAGTGAGGCTCATGGAGGGTATGCGAGGGTGGTGCGGCAAGGGTTGTGGAGGGTGCACAAAGGTGTGAAGGCTGCAAGAGGATACAAGGAAGGTGTGGCAAGGGTTGGGGAGGGTGTGCAAGGATGCAAGGGAGGCACGGTGAAGTTTGGGGAGGGTGTGAGGGAGGTGCAGTGAAGGTTGGGGAGGGTGTGTGAGAGTATGTGAGGGAGGCACGGCAAGGCTCGGGGAGGTTGCATGGTGCGCGAGTGGCTGACACAGCGTGAGCACAGATGGGCTGGGGGAGGGGGCATGGGTGGAGTAGACTCCCCAGCAACTTGCGACCTTCCCTACTGGCTTCCCCACCAACTTTCTGGGGAGGCCGGCAGGGAAGGTTGCGAATGGCAATCATGTGATCACGGGGCGCTGCAGCTAGTTGTTAAGTGTGAGTTGGTTGCCAAACACCCAGATTGCGATCATGTGACTATGGGGGTATTGGGATGGTTGGAACTCCCAGGACCAGTTGTAACCACTATTTGTTCAGTGCTGTTGTAACTTCGAATGGTCGCTGAAGGAATGGTCCTAAGTCAAGGACTACTTGTATCTATATTTCTTCAAAACCATTGTATATCATTTTATGAATGCTGCTTAAATTCATTAACAGGTAGGAGTAGAAAGTAATAAGAATGCATCCTCAGTTTTGTCAGCCATGTTGCATTTGTGTATTTGTGCAATCTATTCAAGTGAACCATCAGAATAAAATGGAAAACAAATTTTGGTATTAAAAATACTAAAATCTGAAAGTCTCAAGAAAGTTTTTCACAAATTGGCACACTCCCAGTGTTGGATTACCTTTCAGAATTTTCAGTCAGAATGGTATTTTGCTGTAGCTGGGAATTCTGGAATTGGTAGTCCAACAAATACAGAGTATCCTGCTCAATTTGATGTTGTTATTCTACAACAAAGAGTCTTGTTATGCTTACCATTCATCTTTTGATTTGCCTGACTCATTATTAATGTCAAAGTATGTAAAAGCAAGCATCTTTACCAATAAAAACTAGAATAACCTTGACAACCACACATACCCTTTCAGCGTAAGATGTCCTCCTATTTGCCTGGGATTCCATTTGTACGCAAGTTCTCTGAAAAATTTTTTAAAAATCACCCATTCATGCAGCAATTAGAATATACACCAAATCATTCAAAGATATACACCAGTCATTACTTTACACTTACTGTAAGGAGTCACATATAATCTATAGCAAACCTGGAGAAGTATCAGTACCCATGGAACTCTAAATAAACTGGGGTGTTATAAACACTGCAGTGTTACCAGCAGATTGGGTTTTGTATGAAGGGTATAAAAGCTCTTGTAATATAAAAAATAAATAAAGATATTGGGTAAAATGTAAACATTTACCTTATGTTTTGTTTTAGTTATTAATATTTATTGGACATTTGCATAATTTCATTATTGACATTAAAATTGAAGAAAAATTAAGATACATTTATGTTAAAAATAATACAGAACTGGTAATGGATGTAAAGATGCATAATGAAGACATTATACAAAGCTCTGAAAGGATAGGAAAAGGTGTGTATTCACTGATATCTTGTGGAGCAGAAAATCTTATTAGCTGGTAACTTTGTATAACAAAGACTACCCTACTTCCTAGAGTTCCTACTGATACAATTTCAGTATGTATCATTATTATTTTACAATACATCTGAATATATGATAGATACAATGCTATGTTCATATTAAATGTTAAATCAGATTTCCTAAAAACTCTGGCTTATCCAAGAATGTGAGCACGCTACTTTGCACTGCTCAATAGATTCAAATCCAGACAGCTTCATTCATGATTCTCATCATGAAACAATTAATAGAGTGGCCTACATTTTTAGTCAATTCAAGCAAAAAAATCTCCCACACATATTAAAAACAATTATTAATGTTTTATTTAACACAATGAAACAGAAAATGATTATACCTTGGCAAGGGCGTGAATTCACTGATGATGCCTTCTGCTCCAAGGGCTATGCCCTGAACGATGAAAGTGCTCCCCATTCCTTTCCAAAGAGCTCTGGGGCCCTGAAATTTAAGTTATAACTTGTTCACTATTGGATGTATTGAAAAGGCCAATGTTACCAAATAGTAACTTCTATGTATATTGTCACTTATACTATTACAGCATATGAAAAAAGTCACATTGAAAGCAGTGCATAAATAGTAAAAATTATATTGTTCTTTAAAAACATGTAAGCTAAAGTATTTCTTATAAATAAATGTCAATTGACATTAAATACTAACCTGGGTTTTATTGATGCTATACATAATGTTGATGATTGTAAATGGAGTTAGGTGATAATTCTTGGCATGATAATTAACCTGAAAATATAAATATACAGAATTATAAAAATGGGCAGTCTTAAATTCATATATTATAATCTATAATTTGAGATTTATTGATGTGGTTCATACATAATGCTAAATCATTATTGCTTAATATTTTGTGTAGACTGCAACTGTTTGGTTAATAAGTCATGATTACAAATCTTTAATGTTGCATGTGAACTGGATCCACTGGATCCCTAGATGCAATAAATGTTATATGAATACTTTCACATGTTAAAAAAATCTAATCAAATCCCACATATTAGTGACAGTAAATTCAAAACAAATGTTAAAGAAATGGTCCAATCATATTTATATTCATCACATTTCATGGTGTTTACTTCAGGGAGTTATATTAGGACCACTGTTTTAGGAGAGCTAAAAATACTATCAGAGAAGGGACTACCTGAACAATTTAATTTGGATAAGAATATCTAGAAAATCTGCAGGAAAAGCATTTACTCACACAGGACATGGAAACGGAAAGGCTTCAGACACAAGAAAGCTAACTTGATATGGTCATGAATGTAACTTATTTTATAACTCTGACCCCGGTATCTAGTGGCACTGTATCAAATAAAAACAGAGCAAGGACGAACCTTCAAATAGGGTATAAATATCCTTATATGATTCTTAAACAGGCATATCCCTGGAATGTGACAGGGAAATTGTTAAAGAAGTCACTGCACTGATATTCCATATTAGAAATTGCAGTTTTTGGATCCAAAGAGTGCAAAAGTGGCATGAGCACCTTTGTTTTATCTGTCTTTCCTGGTTTTGCATAGTAGCAGCACAGATTCTAGAAATTACATGGTTAAAAAGACATCAAGGAGGTAGAAATAGGTATGACCATACGTCACTGCCTCCTTAACACCTTCTTAATGAAAACATGGACTTTTCTGAGTCATTATGGCTACCAAGCAAGACCGGGAAAAGGCATAAGCCCCTTTAGGGATTCACCAACAGGTACAGCAAGGGGGCTCACAATGGATCTAAAACGGCTTTGCCTCCTTCAGATTCAAGTACTGCACACCTATCTTCAAAATATTAGAAGGAGAATTTGTAGGGATTTGCAAATCTTTCAGAAGAGGTGCTTTAGAACATGGGGGAGCACATATGAAGTTTCTTTTTTCAAATCAATGAAGCTCCTGTTGTTTTTTTCCAGGCTTCTGCTGTTGCTTTGGAGGCTGTTCTGAGATGTCTCCATATGTGTACGTGTACAAAGCAAAGCAGGTAAACATGCATCACATATGGAAACAACTGGCAACAGCTTATGAAGCAATCTTATGAGACTGTAAAGTTATAAGTGCTGCATTGATTCAGAGAAGAGGTTCTTATGTGCTCCCAGAGATCGCAAAACACTTCTTTCAAAAGATTTGTACAGCTTGAATGAATTTCCTTAAGTGATTTACCTCAAGATTGCCTACACTGATAAGGGTTTCAACAATTTCATAATTTGGGAGAAAATCGGGTGTTATCTCAACATCTACTTATTAATATATACAGTATCAAACCTGAGACCTGAATTATTAAATAAATTTTAGACTAACAATATAAAAGGTGAACTTAAGCTGAAGCTACTTCAGCTATCTGAAATGACCAATTCAGTTCTATTTTACTATGTAGTTCAGACAGAGCAGTAAAACAATTTGTTTACAAGCTTTGATATAGAAATGTGTGAGTTATTTGGCTGTATGAATGCTGTGCCAGGCTAAATTAACTTCATAATCTTTTGATACTATTCTTACTTGTTTTGTGTTTTACAAAAGAAAGAAATACATTTTTAGTATCAGAAAAAGTTATAAAAATAGAATACTATGAGTTTAAAACCCTAGGAAATCCTAAGTATGCATGGAATCTGCTGAACTAATAACCTAACCACAACAGAGAAACACAAAACAAATATTTGAATAAATAGCAATTGCCCACAATAGCCCAAAGAATTTACCTGGCATTGCCGCCGCAAAACGACGCAAGGATGAGCCAGCACATTTTCTGTGAATAAACTTCAGAGAAACAATTATTTTAAATGCTCAACTTTTGTTAGAGCATTGCATACTCCATTTTATATAATTGTGAGGTCTAGGAAATTAAGATTTATAGAACACATAGAGAACTCTCAATAAGCTTCATATACATCTACCTTCTACAAAAATCTATGCTGTATGCTGAACTATAGCTTCCAGTACACTTTTACGAGAAATACAAAGAATCTGTTCTAATGTGGAAACTTGCTAAGTTGAGTCATTCTGCTTCTACAAAACATCAAGTTGAGGGTAATCTGACTTGATTAGTATGTTTCTAGTCTTCAGTGAATGCGCTGCATATGTTCAGAAGCCCCACTTACTGATTAGATCAAAACCAAGCAACCACTCTGCTGATTAGAAGATGGGTGCTGTTTTGTTTTGAAGTAGTGTTTGGAGTTCTGATGAAGCAAAGCACCTCTTCAAAAATATGAACAGCTCTAATAGGCAACCTATGTATTCCTGATATAGCTTCCACAATCTTTTTCTACTTGACATTTGGAAGGATCCATGTTGTTCATCCCTGCTGAAAAACACAGATAGGCCACTATAACATCTAGGTAGCCCCGCAATACAAAAATAGAGAGGAAAAAAAAATCCACAAAACCCAGCAAAATTAAGTATTTAAACAAATACTTAATATAGACAGGTACTAGACAAGTTTGATAACTGTAGATACAGCTGAGCTCTAGAAATGGTAAAATGTGGAATACTTGTTTTCCATTCAGTTTACATGAGCTATGCAATCCATTTATACACAAAAAAATAAACAAATCAGCAGATCACATTAAACAGCCAGACAGGAATTACTGTACATTATGACCCGTGCCCAAGACTTCATTCAGCCCTGCCACAAGCAAGAAGCAAGAACTATGGATGGTTCGACTACTTGTGTGAGAATGCCTTGCCCACTAAGAAGGAAAGCATACTGCACTATTGGCACAGGTTGCTAGGCAGCACACTTCTAAGGGGAGGGGTTATTCTCCCCTATGGTTACTATGGAACCTTCAAAAAGCAGCAGTTAAAAACCACCACAGTGGCCAATTGGCAAAGCCCATCCTAACAGATTTTTTTTTTTTAAGGGAAGTGGAGGAAACAAGCAATTTGTGTGCTTTCTCATCAGAAATGAATCTGACAGTTATACTGTTTTTTGCATGTCCAGTTTGACCTACTCAACGCATAAAAATTTCTCATATAGTGAAAATCCCCTCCAGCAACTTCTATACCAAATAGAATTAGGAAACAGAGTTTATATGCACCTAGATGAAGTTAAAATGCATTGCATCTTTAAACTTTGTTTCTAATTAGCTACTTTATTCCTACTTATATACTGTAATGATATTATTCAAAATTCTGCTCTAGGTAGAATGACATTACTGAAGAAAATACACATATATACTATTAAAATTTCTTTTTATGATTCATAGGGCCGCAGCTTTCTGGTTCACTGAGGAACTTTAAGCATCTGCAAGGACAATATGAATAGCAGAGCATGACAACTAAGTTTATTTACAGGCCAACAAGATGGTTTTAACAGGAATAAATGTTCCTGCTGCTATTGCTTCTGCAAAATTATGTAGTTAGTTAACTGCAGTATTTATTAATGATGGATATAACCAGCAGTTTCTGGTATGATAAATTGTTGCTTTTTAAATTGTTGTATTTTTGATGTTTTCAGCTGGTTGTTACCTAAGTAGGATCAGCTATAGAAATTGAATAAATATTGCGCTCATCCAAATTGGGATGCATTTATAAACCCAAGATTTCCAAAACATTGCTGGGATGTGTTTACTAGTTTCTTTGGTTGTGAAATACCTCTAGTATTGAGCATAATACTCCACATGAATAAGCATTTTAATTTATATTCAGAAGCAACCATAGATAAGACTTATGCCAACTGCATTCTAGTTGTTGCTTTTCATAGTCTTATATCTCCAGCAAGACAAGAATATGGCAGTGTCATAGACAATACTTTGGGACAATAATTTGTTCCAATTTGCTCTATAATATTGAAACCAAAGTTTCAGTAGACAAGCCAGACATGTTAAATGGAAATTATCTAAGAACATTTAGAAATTCCTTGAATTCCATAAGTCTCCTGAGATTTTAGAAAATAGTCTGAGGATGACAATGAGGCCATGAAAAGTACAACTAATTTCAGACCTCCAGCCTTATACTTAGTTCAAAACAACAGGCTGAATGCATTGGAATAATGACATATTGAAAGGGCTCAATGGGTCTTTTAGCAGTCGTGAATTCCTGAGATTATAGTGGATATAGGTGTAAAAGGTTAAAAATTTATATAAAGAAATGAGATATGGAAGTCATCCATAACTTCTGTCTTAAAAGTTTGTTTTATATCACACCAAAAGCCAACTCATGGGAAAGGTACAGCAACAGAATCTTCAAAACATTTATTTGGCTCCATATCAAGTATAAACACTCTGAAGGAATTTGTGTAAAATTTCTGAAGGAAATTGGATTCTTATAGACAATAGCAATTTCTTTTCCTGTCCCTTCAGCTTACACTGGAAATGCACTATATGCCAGATGGACCAAGAGCAGAACCCCTTTATTCAGTTCATCCATTTTCATCTTGTTGACAAACTGGATTTAAAATGTTAATAAGATTTCAAAACTGGAAAAGCCTAGACTTTCAACTTGGATACACATCCCATCCTGGCAAGTTTGTTGCAATTAAGTGGCCCTTTGTCCAGATTAGTTAATGATTCTTTCCAAAGGGATGAGCTTCTTTCAGTCTGAGCACTTTTTTTGCAAATTTATCATTCCAAATTTTCACTGTCTAGGTTGAGCCTAACTTGAAGAACTGTTTGTTCAGATTCTCAGAACTTAAATACAATTTCCTTCCAGGTGAGTAATTTTTTCTGGTGTAGCTAGCGTTAATATCAATAGCAAAGAACTAGAGATTTTATGATAGTTGCTCTGACATTATGGATCTTTCTATCAGTACACATTATTTCTTTGCTTTCTTTTAATAAGGGCTAGCAAGGCCTCCTTTACTAGCTTTTAGCTGAAAATTTTTCATAAGTGACTGCTAGAGTTTTTTTAGTTATCCTTTGCTTATCTGTATTTTTTATTTACTTACGTTTGAACTATTTTAAACAACTGACATTTTATAACTATTTTAATGGAGTTAGTTATGGAAGTACAACAATAACAATATGACAGTATTACATTTCTGAGTCACACAGTGGGCATGAATTTTGGGGAAAAAAAAGTGTTTTTGCATTAAAAAAATGCTATTAATGAAAGATTAGACCTCTTACCTTGCCAAGCCAATCCCAAAGCCTGCAAACCGATTCAACTGTTCTAAGAGACAGATAACCACATATTTATTTTAAGCTAGAAAGTGAGCAACACATTTCAGTATAGAAATTCTTATTATTCACTTACTATTACTATTCAATTATATGGTAAATCCAAGAATTTTAACATGTTATGCATATTCATTAACTGCAGAAATATACAGTGTTTCCAAATACATTAAAGCAATACCTAATTTCCTTATATCTCTTAAACAATATATTCTATTCCGAGAATAACACTGTTTTTTTGGAAGTGCCTAGCATATGCTGCTCAAGCGATAAGGTGCTTCTAAAGAGACACACCCAGAAACATGAATTACAGAGAAAGCGTTGGACAGCATTCAAAGGAAGCACTGGCAAAAAATGGGCTAGCGCACTGCTTCCGGTCGCCTTTACAAGCGGACCTGGCCAATTAGGACTGTAAAGCAGACATGCCCGACGCACCCGAGCACCTGCTGCCTAAGGGCGGAGGCCAGGCTCCTCATCTCCGCGTGCCACTCCCGTACTCGCGATTTGCTTTACGCACCGGAGTTGGTGCCAGCACCTCCTAGGTACGGGTCCTCGTTGAGCCCAGCCGCCACCAAAGGTGTGCCTGCAGCGAACTGCGGCGTCTTTTCACCCCAATGGAGATTGCGGCTGCCAGGAATGTCAGGCGGGGTAGTGACCCAGTGGCCTAGGTCCGGCTTGGCCGCGAAGCCTCCGGACTCCTCTCGGGCGCTCCGGTAACCCAGCCCGTCGAAGCCCTCGGGGCGCCGCGGATGCATTGGGCAGCGAAAGCAAGTAGAACCGGGGAAAACAAGCAAGAGACAGCAACCGGGAAGAGTCGAGCACGGCGACTCCTACTTTCTACTCTTCGCTTCCGGGTGTCAACCGGAAGCAAACCCCATTAGCCTGACGGACAACCTGGCCTAGCCTAGCTAGGGGCGGGGTTTAATTTGAGCTCGCTGATGTTAGGAAACTGAAGGGGGTTGGTTAGGACTGGGATGGGGGTCTCCCAGCAATTAGGTTTTGTAGGCTACAGTGGAGGTATAAAACCACTCAGAACACATGGCAAAGCACTTCTGTAGTGCTGCCAAGAAAATCTTTGTGTGTTTGCGCGTGCGTGAATGATAGTGCTCATTGTTCCTCATCAGTTCCCGTTTTTCATTTTTAAATGTTTCTTATATTATTACATTGCATTATGAAGAGGTTCGAAGCAATGAATAGAGAGCTCTAGGATTGTAACACAGCTGAAAATGAATATTGGCGTATCAACATCCAAACAAAATACATTGGCAAAATGTTGAGTTTTTTTATCATGTTTTATTTTATGTGAAGTATGTATTGAATTTCTCTGAATTTGCAAGGAGATAAGCAAACTGACAACAGAGTCTAGTGATGCTCCCATAACATTTTCCAGTGTTTAACACAGCAGGTCAAGAACAATTTATAACAATACTGCAGTGCTGTAAATTTAGTATTCTTTTATTACTGTTTGATGATTAGGCTGCACTGTAGCATAACACAATTCTGCAGTGTAATCTGTTTTAGTAATTGGGTCTGTTTGGGGGTTACAAATAAATATCCATGCTACAAAACTGATTTTAGTTTATAGCAAAGCTGAGTTAAAGTTTTTCTATAATACTTTCCCAAGTCCAGCACTCAGTTGCAATAGTTTGCCTTATCCAGCCCTTATTAATCCATGCTTTGCTTAATGGTGGTTATTGACACAATTTGCTGAGTATAAGCAACACCAGAAAGCCAGAGTGTAGCAGTGGTTAAGATTTTGGGGTAGGAATGGGGAGTAGGAGTAGGAATAAGCATCCATAGAGGCTGATTGGGTGCCTTTCTCAGCCCAACCTATTTCACATGGTTGTTTGGAAGAAAAATTGGAGGAGGAAGTGTATTTATTATAAATCAAATAGGCCATCTTTTACAAATTACAACAATATGCTAAGGCACAAGAACATCACACGATGAGTTAGCATACTATGAGTCTAGTTAAAGACTCACTTATGTGCATGTGTTGTACCCATACAGAAAGGGCAAACCACACAACATACTATCTGAAATAGAATAGGAGCTCCTTGTTTTGCTGCTGTCTTTTGCTTCTGGATAGACACTTGTACTAAAGCTCTGAGTTTCTTCATTGATTTGTATGGATTGCTCTCAATTCTGTCCTATGGGAAAGGAGAAATAAGAATAAAGAGAAAAAAATATATTGAAACTTCTTCTGTCTGTAAATTTATGGTTGAAGGATAACTATTTGTAATATTAAAACAGACGGGGATATTTCAATTGGTACAGTAGTTTTATGTTAGGATTATTACTTCCACTCAGAGGACTTTTCCTACCAATCAAAATGATTATAAAGTTGCATATCATATATGATATATATATGTGCTATATGTACTACTACTGATTTTTGAGATCTGGTAACCATAAAAAATCTTAAGATGAGAGAAATCCAATAAACTTTCTGGGTAACATTTGGCTACTTTGGAGGAACTCCATCTTTGTCTAATTTTAAAGGGAAAAAACCCCCCATCCCTATCCATTGCCGCCAAATGAATGTGCAGACATTTGAGTTCCCAAGAAGTTTTCAGATAAATAGTACAAAAAAGGGCTCAGGGAAGAAGCAGGCAAAAGCAAGATATTTCAGCCAACAGGTCTAGCCAACTACCAGAACTGAATTTGTGGACCAAATGAATAGTTAATATTGCTCATTTATCCAGGGGCAAAAAAGAAATAGGTTCATACCAGTTCTGAATCATAAAGGCCTCTATTTTAGATTCAGCTCCCTTATTTATTTATTGGAGGGAGGGGGTTGCATTTACTGTATTTAAAATATTTCTATTGCCAGGAGACCGACATCCTCCGGCTCCTTCCGGGTATATCGCCTTGAGTTCGCAAAGAATGACCAGATAAAATGCAGTGTAAGGAAGGAAAGAAGAAAGAAACCACACTTGTCATTAAAATAATCCTGATGTCGATCCCCGCTATACTCAGCTCCCGTTTACAGCAATGACTTACGTAAAACGCGGCGCAGGAATCGCCGCCAGGGAGCCGGGATCTCAAGCTGTGCAGGCGAGCTTCCCCCCCGCCCTCCTCCGTGGAATCCCGGCCTGGCTGCGTCCATGGCAACGGTCGCCGCAGCTCATTAACACGCCGCGAAGGTGGTACCGTCGAGCCGAGGCTTCTCCCCTTTGCCTCTTCCTGCGAGCCGGGTAAGTTCGGGAAGGCGGTCACGAACGTGGCCCAGAGTCGGGAGCTACCAAGGGACTGTTTTTGATCCTGGCAGGTGGTCCGGTATCCCGTTTGAACCGTCCTTAACACTGGTTCGTGGGCTGCAATTCCACATGTTTTACTTAATGCCCGCCCAGGTGGGCGGCAGCATGGATTGGACTTCGGTGAACTGAAAAAGTTAAGCAGGTTCGGACCGGGTTGGTACTCGGAAGCAGGGCCGTTTGGTAGTACTAGGGCTGCAAAGAAGACCGGAAAGACTGAAAACTATCCTTGAAGAAAGCGCTAGCAAGTCACTTCCATACTGTGCCAAGAAAACTACACGTGAAGTCAGTAGGAGAGCTGACTTAGGTGAGGGTGGGTGTTCTGGGCTGAAAAAATTCTGAAGACCCGAGGGCAGCAGTTAGCACGATCTAATGCTGTTTCACCGTATTCTAAATCAGGAGTGTGGTAGCCCCTTTCCCCACTCATAAATTTTGTTAAATTTTATTAAATTTCATTTGTTAATAAGAAAAGGCGCTCCCAGGCTCCTGATTATGTGCTACCACAGCCTAATGTGGCTCTCTTCCTACAATGCCTGTGTATTCTACTATCACACAATCATTGTTATGGTGATTTGAAGTCTTCACTGCTGTACATTGCCAACAGAGATGATGTTATAGGATGCTGTAAGTCACTAGAAGGAAAACAGTCTAAGCTGTAGCCTTCGTGTTCTTTAGAACATGTTTCAAAACCAGTGGCTAAGCAGACTCCAAAGTGTCCTTATTTAAGCAATGATGTGACAAAGTTTGATTTCATCGGGAGGTGCCTAAGTGAAGTAGTTTAACTTATTTCTTATATGTATATCATACCTTTTCTCCAAAAACTCAAGATGGCCTATGGAGCATTCCCTCCTTCCATTTTTCCCCATGTAATAACCAGTGACAAAGGTTTGCCGGAGAGAGAGTGGCAGGGCTAAAGTTGCTCAGTGGGCTTCCATGGCTGAGAGTGGAATGGAACATGGCCTCCCTGCCCTAGTCCAACAGTTTAACTCCTATACATTCTGACTCTGATTTAAATTGAGACCAAAGCTTTTGATCTTGTTATATTCCCCACTGCTTGAATTCGTCAGTGCTGGAATGACTGTCCTTCTGTTCAGTAGTGTGGCGCTTTGGCAAGTACACAAAAGCTTCCATGTGAGCTGATAGCTGTTTCAAATGGTGTAAACACAGTGTTGGAACACCTTCATTTTGTGCATGCTGTGACTTCCCATCTCCCTGTGTCTGGAGGTAGAAGGAAGGATCAACTTCAAAGAAATCCTCTTTTCCTGGCCTGGAAAGGGAGAGATCAGGCTAAGATGAGTAAATTTATGTTTAACCTTGGGGACCAAAGAGGTTGAGATGCTTGCCATGAAATAGTATTTTAAAGAATCAGTGCTCTGCATACTGTATCCTTTAAAATGTTGATAAGTGGACAGTGGGAAGAATACCCTCCTCCCAGGGTGGGAAGAATGAAAAGGAGGAACAGCCAATAATTAACAGAAACGGTTGGTAGAGAATCTGGTTCAGAAAAGACATTCAGAGAAGAAACTGTAGCTTTGGATAAAAGCAAAAGCAACAGCAGCCGCCGCCAGATTGTTCAAACTATATGGAGTGAATTTTCCTAAGTATTGTTTGAAAAGTTAAAACATATTCAGTTCAAGAAAGGAATTGTTTTAAAATTATTAAACCAATTATATATGAGTGTAGCACCTGAGATGTGAAACACTGTAACCTAAGCTAGTTCATGACTCTCTAATAGTGTAAAAACCCATAAGCCTGTGCTTCTTTAGAAATATTCTTGTTTTAATTTTTTTTTGAGTGACTGTAGTTAAACCCTCATGATCCTATAAAGTAAATGGTGATTAATCTACCTTCTACTACTTTTCATATAGGGTTCATACTTTCTCTTCCTTCAGCCATTCTACTTTCATTCTTGGTTCTTTTAGTTCTTTCGTTCCATGTCTGTTTTTTCCCCCAAGTTCTGCTATTGATGCTGCTAAAAATGGTCTGCCTCATATTCAGAACCCCTCATCACCCTTTAAACTTAATTAATTCTCCAACTCATTCATCATAAACATTCAAATAAAATAAATAATACTTTTAGATTTATTTTATTCCTTTGTTATTTATATGCATGGATAGACATGATCAAACCATGTATTCAAAGCAAACATAACTTTTCCTAAGCAGATGCTCACTAAAAAATAAATATTCTCATTCATTCTTAGGCATCCAAATAGGCCATTCACTTTTTATGTACTCTTCCTATTCCTACCCATCCATTCATGCCATCTAATAGACTAACTCCCTCCCCCACATCACATTCATTTAGAATGTTGTACAATTTTTCCCTGGTTTTTCATTATTACTGATTACTGGAGCATAACACACAACTATTATCCATCTATATAGTCTTAATTTCAGATACATGTACAACACTCCATATGACATTAATTTTCTGACCATTTTAGCCCTTTTGTCCAAAATTAAACCTCTACCATCACTTTAATACATGTATGCATCAATTCCATTCCACAAAACCAGTCTGATTTATTATATTCTTTCCCTTTTAAGATTCACACACAAATAACCCATATCTTTAATTGATGCTTTTTACTATTTATTATTCTTATATTCCAAGTCACAGTCTTCCATATGCCATGGACATCCCTAGATGAGCCTCTAGACATTGATCTCTGCCACCCATCCTGGAATTGGTCAGTTGAGCTTTTAGATAATGTTTTTTAATAAAAGAAGAAAAAAATAGATGCCTTTGTTGTAGCCAAGCTGGGCAAAGCATTTTCTGCTAATTGTAAGGACAGTATCAGTCAGTTTTGGGACCTTCTGGCTGATATGCCACAAGTGGACCCAAAGCCAACATATTGTTGCCCATATCCCACCCACTAGGAGTTACATGCAGTATATTGTCACTCTTAGGCTATAGGGATTTCTACAAGCACACAAAACGTGTCAGCATAAAATAAGGAACTCTGGGACTTATTTTTAAGTGGCTATATATGATAGTACAATGTAGGACAGTATATTTTTTTCTCTGTCCTTCCCTCACAAAGTATAAGAGCACAGTGAAGAAATATCTCATATAGAACCTAGAAGCCTGGGCTAAAGCTGGATTCAATGGCAGTGCAAACTGCTTCCTGTCCTGCTCCTGTGCCACTTGCCAGTGTGTGTGTGTGTGGTGGTGGTGGTGGTGGGGGGCTGGGGATTAGCAAAATTTCTCTCTCATTATTGTAGAGAAAAGAAAGTGGCAGTGAGATTAAGTTCAACTCACTTCTAGTTTGAGATAATAGTTTAAATAATGCAGCCATCTCAGTTAACTGGTGTATAAATACTTTCTTCTCAACATTATGTGGACCAGTGCATAGTCATTAAAATATTTTGAGTATCATAACATAAACTAGGAGTCAGTGAGATAGTCACTTGAGTACCATGACATATCTTTCCCCCCGCAGACGGCACCACACGCACACACACATGCTCACCGCTTATTTTTTTATAAAATAAAATGACTGAAAAACTCAGAATTGCCAAAACTTGGAATGAACTCTTGTGAGGTTTTGGGAAAGAATAATAAATCTTGTGAAATTTCACCATCTTCAGAGATGTTTTGTTATCTGTCCATCCATCCACACTGAAACCCTTCTGCAGTACCCTCAGAGATCACTAGAGGTTCCTTGTTCAGATTGGGAACCATTATTCTATGGCAATGGTCATCATCCTGCCCTTCATTATTGTTATTGACAGATCATTTGAGACTTCATCAGGATGCAATGTAAATAGATGTATCTGTTGGCATGTAAAATTCCAGTTTCCCAACCATACCTCTAATGTTTCAATTTCCATGTTCTTTCTTGTAATTTAATTGTTCATGCCCTAGCCTGATTGAATAGTTATTTTTCTCTGATTAATTTTTAACTAAAGTCAGTTGTTGAGTTTTCAGAATAGTGGTCATCTGAAAACTGCAGAGAAATTACTGCACTGAAATTTATACGCAGTGAGAGAAATGCCACTAAATACTGATAGTAGCTGACTGCTGTTGGAATGCTGAGCTGCTGATAATGCTCTCAGTTACTTGATGTGATGATGAGAAAGAGAGTCTTGGACATTTAGCCTGCACCTTTCTTTTGACCTGTCACCTGACAGACTCAGGAGTGTGCAGGACTAATGATAAAAGTTCCCCTTCTAGAAGTGCATCCCAGCAAAAACAAACCAATCAGTGTGGATGATCTTTCCTGAGAAAATCCACATTGTAACTGGAAACACTTCCTACTATTCATTAAATATTACTGTCTTATCTAATATAGGATATTTGGTGGGAAGCTGTTCGTAAAGTTATTGTATTTATTTGGTAAAATTTGATTTGATCAGATTTATATGTAACAGAATGTATTGTAAGTTTTTTCCAGAATGGAAGAGTTTTTAGAAGAGAAATAGATGAGTATGAAATAATCCATACTATGGATTTAACCATAATTTTTAACTGAAGTGGAACACCCATAACTTGCTAAAGTTTAAATAAAGAAACAAATAAACAAACAAAACCAAGTAGGATTGTTTCTTGGCAGAGAGTAAGGCATCTAAATAATAGCTTTCTCTGCTAATGACTTAATATATCATATTCCAATTCTTTTTATTTGTTTGTTTCAGAAGGAATATATAAGCCGTAGCAGAACACCAATAGTTCTCATAAAGGATACTGTAGTTATGGCTTGGCTTATATAAACGAACCCTTTCATCACAATAAAGTATTAATAATTCACCACCTTTAGGAGTTTATCCTCTAGTTTAAATGCCTTGTACTACCAAATAAGATTTTATTGTGTGATTGTCGTGCCTCATTGTCATGCCTCATGTTATAATGTGGGGACATGGGGAGCCTGCAAGATGGCTGTATCGCCCAGCGTCACTTCCAGTGTGATGGGCAGTGACAAATGTGAAATATAAATAAATATAAAAAATAAATAAAAATATTGTCTGTAGGTTGGCACTTTCCCATGCTTTTACCTTTCTGGTTAATTGTTTTTATTTATATGACTTGGTCTTCGCTGTTATAACTTGTGAGCCACCCAGAGTCATGTAAGTGAGATGGGTGGCTATATAAATTGAATGAATAAAATAAATAAAAAAACAATCCATTTGTAACACTCCTAGCTTTTTTTCATAAAGAAGTTTTTTTTCATTAATGAAGAAAAGATGGAATT